GTTTCTCCACGGGCAGGGGCGGTCAGATGGCACCACCTGGGGCACCGCCGGACCGCGTGGGCCATTTCACGGCACCCGGCAGACCTGGGCCTTCGTTCAGTCTGGTTTTTTGGGGTCACCTGTGTCTTTGCGGAGCCTGCGAGGGTTGGGGCAGAAAATGGAATTGGGGAAAATAAACCACAGAAAATTGTAAGTTGTAAGACCCTGGAGAACTGGTGTCAGGTTGTCTCAACTTTTAAAATGAACTTTTTTTTTTTTAAGGGGATGGTCAAGCTCTTCTCAGGCCGGAAACCCATGCTGTACAGCTTCCAGACGTCCCTGCCGCGCCTGCCCGTGCCCGCCGTGAGGGACACCGTGAGCAGGGTGGGTGTCGCTTCGGGGTCACAGAAAATCTGCTCGGAAATGCCCGTCGTCAAGGGATTGAGGTTTATGACTTAAAGACGATATTCGTCATTTGGGTGTGTTAGCGCCCAGCAGTGGCCGTGGCCGTTGCAGGAAATATTTTTTCCAGTCAGCACATCTTAGGTGTTTTTATCCGCTCCCCACCACCCCCTCCGCTTAGATGTTTTTTAATAAAAGGCATCATATGTGGTAGTGAAACCACTTGGCAAATTTTTATTTTTTTAAATATATTTTATTGATTTTTTACTGAGAGGAAGGGAGAGGGAAAAAGAGTTAGAAACATCGATGAGAGTGAAACATCAATCAGCTGCCTCCTGCACACCTCTTACTGGGGATGTGCCCGCAACCAAGGTACATGCCCTTGACCGGAATCGAACCTGGGACCCTTGAGTCCGCAGGCCGACGCTCTATCCGCTGAGCCAAACCGGTTAGGGCAACTTGGCAAATTTTTAAAACAACTTTGTTGAGATATAATTCACATACCATATAACTCACTCCAAGTGTCCACTCCAGTGATTTTGTTAGATTCCATTACTTACTGTTTTGGTTTTTAAATCCTTACCCGAGGACACATTTTTATTTTAGACAGAATGGGGGGCGGGGGGGGCGGGGGAGAAGCATTGATCTGTTGTCTTCCGTACGCTCCTGGACTGGAGACTGAACCCGCAGCCTATGTGTGTGCCCTGACTGGGAATCAAACCCAAGACCTTTTGGGGTATGGATGGCACTCCAACCAGCTGAGCATTACTAGTTATTTTAAGTTGTGCCCTGTCATTGTTCCGGCTCCTCCTTCTGTCCTGGTGTCCAGGGCACTGGTCAGCGCTGCCCGTGCTTGGTGCCCCCCGTGCCATCACGCTGCAGCCCAGTGAGAACGGAGCTCCTGTAAGGGCCGGGGACTGCGGAAAAGACCCCCCTGACATGTCCTTGTTAACATTTTTCAAACATCGATCTGGTCCGTTGGGAAGTCACGTTGGTGATTTTCTGGTGACGCAGGATCTGGGGAGCTTGCAGGCCAACAGAGGACGAACAGGAGTCGTTGTTTAATTACCAGGAGCCCAAGTCACCGTGTAGCGTTGGAGTTAGCCAGCCGGCGGGAGGACCGGCCACTTGGGGGACGACTTCGCCCCTTTTCAGCATGCTTGCGTTTTCTCGGAGGAAGCTGTGTGCTGACCGGGCTTGTGTTTTCCCCGTTCACCCCAGTATCTGGACTCGGTGAAGCCCCTCATGAAGGAAGCCGACTTTAAGCGGATGACGGCGCTCGCCGAGGATTTCGCCGTCAGCCTCGGGCCCAAGTTGCAGTGGTACCTGAAGTTAAAGTCCTGGTGGGCTACCAACTACGTAAGTGTGTGCCCGCGCTTTTTCTTGATGGAATTCTACTCAAGAAAGTAGATTCCTTGTGTGAGAAATACGAGTCAGTTCCGGGGACATCTGGGCGTCCCCATGCGTGGTGGCCAGAGGGGACATCTGGCGGGTGGGGGTGGGGGTGGGGGCCTAGGTTTTGGGGAACAGCTGACGTGGCAGAGAGGGGTTGGCTGTGACCCAGGCACAACCAGTGTCAGGCTAGGAGTGGACGTGGTGCCGGGAGTGAGAGACGGGGCTGGGGTGGGGCACGTTCCCCTTTGGAGCAGGTGCTGGGGGCACAGGTGTGTTGAATTCAGTTAGACTCTTGCCTGCACACCGGTCTGTGTGAATAGCACTTCAACACGACGGACAGAAAAGTGGTCCCTTGGTCCAGGAGGCTGTGAACGGTCCCGAAGCCCGTAGTGTGGTCAGGAAGAGGTTGCTGCGGGGTGCGGGGGACATTGGGACGTTATGCGGGGAGTGAGAACAGCACTCGAGGTTCCGAAAGGGACGGACCAGGACCGAGAGCCCAGAAGTCGGGGGAGGAGACGGGTCGCCGCCGCCGTTGGGATCGCTTTCATTGTTGAGAAATGCCAGCAGGCGCACACTGACCACCTTTCCCACTGGGCCGTGTGTTTTGACCACCTGTAACGTGAAGGTGACCTGCCTTCTGGCCACGTCATGACCTTAAAAAAACCCACTTTCCATCCCCCATCTTCTTGCACGAAACACCCCCAGCCCCGCGGGGCCAGTGCCCCTCTGGTTGAGCTCGTCTGTTGGCACCAACAGGTGAGCGACTGGTGGGAGGAATACATCTACCTGCGTGGACGGGGGCCGCTGATGGTGAACAGCAACTACTACGCCATGGTGAGTCCTCCGGGCGGCGGTGGCTGCCGGCCCTGCGGCTGCTGGGGAGGCTCGAGGGACTGACCGGCCCCTCCTGTTCTGCCACCTCTGCCCCCAACTTCACACCCGCCAGGGCGCCCAGGACCTGCTTCCCACACCAGAGAACCAGGTGCCCTCAGGGTCCCTCAAGGCGCCTGCAGAGAAACGTGGGTG